ATATTCTGTGCAATAACAGATAATGGTACAAATATGAAAAAAGCTATTAATCTTTGGAATGGTGTTGAATACCTTTCCTGCTTTGCATTAAACTATGCACAAAACAAATTCATACTCTTATTAAATTTTTCCAATTACCAAAACAAAGCCAATATTTTGATTGAGCACAAATTGATTATAGTAAAACCAGCATAACTCCTATTCAGCTATATGTTTCTACAAGCTCACAATTTGATTTAGAAATAGAAAATATAGAAGAAATAGAAGATAATAATTTAGAAATATATAAAGCCAAAAATTCTTTGTACAATAAATGTTGTAAGCACTGATGGAATTCTACCTACCACTACTGAAAAAGGCTTTTAGTGCTTCACCAAGCAATAGAATAGCTTGTTGCAACTTTATATTTACAAAATGATGATAATGCCAAAAAAGGTTCTTAAATGTTAACCAATCTTATGCTTAAAAGTCATAAATGGAATTTATTAAAAGAATTAGTAAAAGTTTTTAAACCAATTAATGAATTAACTACATATTTTAGTGGAACAAAATATACCACTCTTTCAGTTGTTAATTCAAGCATCAAAGTATTAAAATTTGAATTTGCTAATGCAAAACTTGAGGATGACTTTGAGGAAACTATTAATATGAATAAAGGTTAATATAAAGTTTTTTTCATAATAATAATACAATATTAATTTTTTTTCAAATTTTATTTTAGACAAAGTATTATCTAAAGATTCTAATACTGAAACGGTCAATCCTCAACCACTATCTCCAAACTCTAATAAAGCAATAATCTCAAAAATTCGAGGAGTTATATACAATTCTCTTTGGCACTATTGGCAAAATCCAGAAGGAATTGGGCTAATTGCTACCTTGTTAGATCCACAATTGAAGTCAATGAAAATATAGCCAAATGAAATATAAAATAGTACCATTAACAAGCTATGTACCAAATTTGAAATTTGGCAAATATAGTCATAGCTGATGAGTCAGATATTAGAGTTGATACAGAAGGTTCTTCATTTACACCTTCTTTTATGAGAAAAATTTTTAGCCACAATAAAAATTTAATAAATCACAAAATTGATAATTATTTGAATAAGTTAGTTACACAAGTGCAACCTGAAGCTACTAATGTATATGAGTGGTGGCATTCCAACAAAAATATCTTTCCAGTTCTAAGCAAGTTAGCATGTAAATATTTGTCAATTCTTGCCACTTCTGTTCCAAGTAAATAGCTTTTCTCTGATGCAGAAAATCAAATTACTGTCAAGAGAATGCGCTTAGTATCTGATTTAGTTAATAAATTATTATTTGATAAGTACAATACTTTATATTGCAAAAATGCTTGAATTTAGAATACAATTCTTTGATTTTTTTTTTTTATTACTGTATTATAGAAATGTTTAACTATTAAGCTTTTTTTTACAATAAATTATTACAAATATTATATATTATATTTTACCTTAACTAAGTTCTCTGTTAAATAATTCTTCAAATATATGCTTGAGGTGTTCTATTAGAAAGAGTCATGTAAATAGCTTTGAATTTTTGAAAAAAAAAGACTAATAATGAAATTTAAGTAGTAGTATTTGTACAATATATAATGCAGTATAAGGTTGACTCAGGTTAAATGGGTCATCTGATAAACCTGTGTGACTTGTTAATTACTCAGGTAACCTGGGTCACATTTTTTAAAACAGGTCCAATCACTACACTATACAAGTATTTCATTCATATTAATTTAGTTGGTAAGCATAAAAGTTATTACATTCTATTTAAAGTACAAAAAATCTGTATGATATAATAAGTATAATAAGATAAAGTAAGATATAAGGATACTGATGATTGTATGAAAGCATTTCAATTTAGAGCCTTCATATATGATAATAGATTCTATTCAATGAATTAGATAATATTAAAAGAATTAAAAAGAAGAATTTGGCTCATTATTTTCTCTAACATTGTTTGATAGTAATAAGTTTAATTATATAAGAATATATGAACTATCTAGTAATTACAACTGTTATATCTTAAGTAAAAAATATAAAATTTCATGAGTTATCAACATGCTTCTTAACTTTTTGTCTGCTCATATTTGTCATTAACTGTGCTACAGCAAATTCTTCAATTAATAATCATGTTTATAAAGACTTGTGAGTTATTAAATATTTATACCACATTTATATGCATACTGTAGTAATAGGCAATTAACAATTTTTCAAAATCACGTGTGTGCCTGCATGTGATTCACGGTATAGGCTTTTTCCATATTTTACCTTGACCTCAAAAATATTTTGAGACCTGGCCTGATTTATGACACTACCCGAATTATACAGTATATCCCACACGGGATCACACGCGGTACTCATCACTAACATACTATCATAGTAATCTGACAATGATGTCATATCTGATCAATTAGCTCGCTAAAGCTGTTCTCAAACAATGGCTTATAGAATAGTCCAATTAATTATAAAAATAAAATGATCAAAATAAGATCTAGACCTGACAATCTATTTTTTCATAGTCGTTATATGTACTAAATCAAACAAATCAAATTCGAAAAATAATTAACAGCATATTATTTAAAGAAAAGTACATATGCAGTAAAGCATTTCAACAAACAGCATTATAGTATTTCTGCGGCTTTACGACGGCAAAAAATATGGTAACTGTATTAATTTGTAAAATTGATTCTATCACCAACTATATTTCTGATAGGTTTTTTTTTAAAGGAACCCAAAGTCAATTTCCTATGCAATAATAGAATACTAAAGTTAATCAATAACGTTTATTTTGACTTATCTAAATATTAATCCTTAAAATAACATACTACCGTATTGTATCTACATAAAATAAGAACCCTTAACAATAAATTTTATGGTTATATTCAGGTTAAATTAATTATTAGCTCTCTTTAATTATGTGCCTTAAAATAGCCTATGGGCATTATTTCGCGAAAATACAGTAAGGATTAGTCCTATAAACTGGACTCAAACCAAACTTTAATTAAGTTTGAGTCTGGTTTAAATTTTGGATCAAACTCAAACTTTTAAGTTTGGTTTGGGTTTGGGTTCAAAGTTTGCAAACTAATTTGAATTTGAAAATATCATAGATATATTTTTGAGCGCTGAATAATAAGTTTACTTAGAATATGAAATTGTGATCAATTAGTAAAATTTTAAGTAATACAAGGTTTCTATATTTTATTAATAAAATTCTTGCATTATTCAAAATTTTACTAATAAATTATGACTTTGAGTTCTTAGTGAACTTGTTCTGACTAAAAATATATTATATTGGTATATTTTATTTTATTTTTATTAAATTTGAAGAGGTGCTTAATTTTGAATTTTTGATTAAAATTTTTAATCAAAAATTTAAAATTAATAAAAATATAAAATAAATACAAAAAAATTTAATGTATTTTTTGGTGCTAAACAAATTTACTTAGAACATAAAGTTAGAATCAATTAGTAAAATTTTGAGTAATACAAGATTTATTGATTAAAATGTGCAATTATTTTAGAATTCAGACCTAAAATTGGTCCGCATTCAAAAATAATTACCCAAATATAGAAAATTGTGTATTATTCATTAATTAAAAATTCGAAATTACACATCTTACGTAGTATTAAATTTTAAGATAAAATAATATATACGTTTTAATATATTTTTTTGGTGCTGAACTATTTATTTAGAACCCAAAATTATAATTAATAAGTAGAATTATTAAAATTTAAAGTTATTCTAACTTTATGCTCTAAGTAAACTTGTTCAGCATTAAAAATGTATTTATAGTATTTTAAACTCAAACTAGTTTACCAACTTCGATCCAAACCCGGACCAAACCTATAATTGAGGTTGAATTTGGTTTGAATTTAAAAATTAATAAATTTGAATGAGTTTGAAATTTAATCAAATCAGACCGGACCCGAACCGGACCTAGCAGCCCTAGTAAGGATATTTGGGTTGAAAACTTTACTAAATGACCGAAGCAATTTTCGTAAAGAAGCAATTAATGGTCCAGCATTACTTTCGTGCCGGTTCACAATAGGATCCCTCTTACTGTTAATCTACCGTAAAGTGCCATACGGTAGATCGCCCCATGAGATATACTCTGTGATCTTAAAATTTGATTTATATCCAGGTACAATCATGTTAAAGTTCAATGAATAGTACCCCTATACCTTGGGGAATACCCGGGGACTATATATAATTATTTTACTCTCCTATTTAAGTACCTGGGTACAGCTTAAGACATTGTTTTCTGGAATTATACCCCTGATCAATACGATATACCCTCCTACTTAAGTACCCCGGGTACATCTCAAGACATTGTAAATATCCAGATACAATAGTTGGCACTTTAAGGTAGTTCAAATAGTTACATTAGATTCGAACCTTTATCATCACCTTTGGAACAACATAAAAACAATGACACACAGTTTATTGCTAAGAATGTTTGTCACACTAAGCAAACGATCAATAATGGGTACCACTTTCGCTTTGGATAACATTATGCACCATCCAGGTATTGGTTTACCCGATTACGCATCATGCAACTTACAAATAGACTTTTAATTAAATTCTAATCACGCCATTCATGCAACGTAGCCATGTTGCTACGAATACCGGGAGTGTGTTTGTCATCGCCGTTTAAACTGAATTAAGAAAAAGCTTATGCAAACTGGATTAAGAGTGGGACCAGTTGAAAATCTCGCTGAATTCACTTTAAAGGACGATAAGCAGGGTAAGTAATACCACAACTCCATTCGAATATTCCAAAACCTATATTACTTTTTCTGCAATAATTTCATTTATTAACTTGCGCTTCACTAATACTAGAACCTAAAAAAAGAAAAGCAGAGGGAGAAAGTAAGATTATACCGAAATGGTATTGATGCCTGCTCACTCTTGCAAATTTTTTGTTTGATCACAGAAAAAAAGAAAATGGATGGTAAATAGCGTTATTACGCGAGAGGAGCGTCCTAACGTTTATTTTGTGGACTAAGAACCTCAGGGAATTCTACACGTGTCCTTCAACTTCAGAACCAGTTGAATAACAAAGGCTTTATTTGCATTTAGTAAGTTTACTTCTTTCCTAAACGAATCATATTTTTATTATCATACTTTTTCTTCTGAAAAATTCTGGAAAAAATCGAATTTTGATAGCATTAATTCTGCTAATGATTCAATATGATGTCTAAAAAAAGATAAATTGAAAAAATCTCGTTGTTCACCTTATTGACGAATTTAGTATGTTATACTTTCCGTAGTATAAAACGACAAAGGACTGTTATGCTATCAAGTCTATCTTTACCATCGGACCTTTCAGCATCCTGTAATTTTTCATATGTTTGAAGTTGATTAGACCAGTTTTAATATATATGAAAAATAAAACCAATTACAAACTCTATAATGTTGTTGTTATCGTTATCTCACCATTTTTACTGCTGCTCTGTATGCAGTGAAGAATATTTAATGTTCTCAATGTTCTCAAGAACATTCAAAAAAATTTAAGAACACTGCATTTAGAAATTATGTTCTCTTTTGAGAACAAACTAAGAACATAAAATTTATAAGTTATGTTCTCATAAGATATATATAAAATTAATAATAATAATTTTATTATTATTATTTATTATTAAAAACAAAAATTCTTTTAAATATAACATAAATTGTTTTCAAAAAGCTAAAATTCTTTGCTAGATACTCTACGAATAATAAATTTATTATAAATTTTTTTAAAAAATTATTTTTTAAAAAATTAGGCCATACAAACTTATACTATTGGTTTTCATATCACCAAGCAACCTTTTATAACCCAGCAACCCGAATTTTAATTTTTTTTTAAAAAAATTTTTTAATAAAAAATTTATTTAAAAAGTTTATTGTCTTACAACCCGGATATCTGGCAAAAAATTTTTTATGTTAAAAATTTAAACTTTATTCTTTACACTGTTATATGGGCAAACTTGTTTTCTTTAAATTCTTCACTCACTTTTTGGGCTTTGAAGTCACATATAAGTCCAGTTATTTAAGCTTGGCATTTTATAACATAGTTCCAAACTGGGTCTTGCTTAGGTCACTATAATTAGAGATGTGAACTGTAAATTATAGTAATAGTAAGTAATTTCTGTAACAATAATACTTACAATAGAAATTATGATAATTTTAATATAAATTAATTCATCTTAACATATTGTGGTTATCAAAATAGTAAGTGAATTTTTAGTCATTTATGATAGAAATCATGTTAATTACAATACAAACTAACTTACATTAATTATATATTGTAGTCACCAAAATAGCAAGTTCTGCAACAAAATAATTCTTAGTAACTCATGATAGAAACTATAACAATTCCAATACAAACTAACCCAAACTTAATCATAGATTTTTTTATAGTACTTGCAATGGAAATATGATAATTCAAATATGAATTTTTTCATTTTAACTACATATTGTTGTTACCAGAATAGCAAGTAAATACTGTAATAAAACTTAAGTAGCTCAATTTCAATACAAACTAACCAACTCATCTTAATTACATCATAACAATTTCAATATAAATTAACTTATCTTAATTACATATTGTGGTTATACATACTGACAAAATTATTTCAAGTTCTAAAACCTGAAATTAAAATTTGAAGATAAAATTGTTTTTGATCTATTTTACTTAAAAGACAAAATTTTTGACACTTTTTTTTTTTTTTTTCAGTGTTAAGGTGAGGTCATGCCTCGTGACTTTATTATAAGCATATATTTTTGTATATATTATGTGATACAATTGTTATATACTATTATTAAGTACATTATGGCTCAGACAGGTCTTGACTACTATCTGCGACCTAAACCTACCAGAGAATTCCATATCCCACTTATGTACAACCTGGATTTTTAACTACTATATCTGATTTGTACACAAAACTCCCTTCTATATTCACTGCATCTCTTATATTTACAACATGCAACTTTCTCTTTTGGTAACCCGTAGGAGGCCTCATAACCTAACAGTTACTTCCAAATTGGTCAGACCACTCTACTTCTCTAATTCAAGCCTATTCTAGCTACTGTAGATTCCGCATCATGTGTTAATACCATGTGGAGCTTACACTCAACAAGAAATAGTTTTGCAGATGAGGCGGCGCTACAGCTGTTTTACAGAGTTATGGCCTAATTAACGTCATATGTGTAATATATGCATTGCCAATTCTTGATAACAAGTACTCCCGTAGTTGGTAGGTGTAAGAGTAAGGGAATGATCGTAACAAAGTTACTTCTAAAGGTGTTTTTCATGCTCCAGATCTTCCAAATTATTCTGAGTTTCCCCCAGATATATTTGGTGTTTCTATTGCCCCAATATTTTAGGTTATGAGGCATTTAGAAGTATAGACCTAACTAGGACTTGCGGTCTGTTTCACTTCCACGTTAGTGTTTGGTGCTTCTTATTGGTATTCTCTCTCTCGTTCGTGTATTGCTATACTCCCAGCTCGGTGCATCTAGCCATTTTGCCCACGTTCGGGTATAGTTACACGTACCTCAAGTTTTAGCCAACTCTCTATAGAAGTTTGTTTTTTTTCTCATCAGGTAAGTAGTTGCGCCAGAGGTGTTCCAAATCCAGTAAGGCCAATTCTTTACCACAGGTCTCTTTGTGTTCACCAC